AGCAGAATGCTTCCCTAGTCTATGAAAGACACTGGGTTTGACCCTAGCACAGCATATGGGCATGGTTGTACACGCCTGTAATCTCAACACTCAGAAAGTGGTGTTAAGAGGATTAGAAATTCAGGGCCAGCTTCGGCTACATAGCAAGTTTGCTGCCAGCCTGGGCTACAAAAGATCTTATCACCCAAGTTATTTGATAACAGAACCACATACATTTAAAAATATATCCATGCAAGTTTTACTATTGTTGTGGTTATAAACAACCCAACAGACTTACAGAATAATCATAAGATCAAATCGTATCCAAAAGTAATGTTAAATTATCTGATAAACAATGGCTAGTTATGGTAAGAAACCCCAAGTAGATCAGTCACAATGGGTAGGACCTCGAGTGGCTCATGGAAATATTGGCATATTAGAACTGCCTCTTCATTTAGCAGGAAATAGCGAATGTAATTTTTCTCCAACTTGAAACATGCAGGGCCAATTATAACACACCATTTCACTTCTTAAGAAATTTTAATTATTTGGCTCCCATGATTCCCTGTCATTTAAAATAGTTCAACCCTGCAGCTTTTTTTGCTGCTCAAGTCTAATTTCAAGTCAGAGTGTGAGGTACTGGCATCTTTGATATTGATTTTCAATTATGGTTGAGGATGTGAACAGCAAGGGGAAATCAGAGTGTCACTTCTCGTCTTGGGAGGAGAGAGAAAGAAACAGCTGAAGTTCTTCCAGGAGAGGATTCTGGAGTTTTAAAACTTCTTTATTCTATGACAGTCGGGGATATTGAGAAACTGTGGGCAGGATTTTTGGTTCATCTATCTGTGTGTAGTATGCGTGTGTGAGCACGTGTATGTTGGTGTGTGTGTAGTGTGGTGTGTGGGTGTATGTGTGTGTGTGTGGTGTGGCATGGTTTGTGTGTGTGTGTGTGTTAGATAAATGTTTATGTATGTATACCCATGTGAAGCAGGGAATAAGCTCAGGTCTGTGAGCATGCCAACCATAAGCTGGCACCTCCATCTCTCTCTGTCTACTTTACTGTTTGGGGAAATGTAATCTCTCACTGAACCAGAGTTGACTGATTTGGTGAATCTGGCTTAATAAGCCAGGGATCCTCCTGTCTCCAGCTCCTAGCGCTGGGTTTCAGATGCATGCTGCCGGGTTGTTGATATGAATGTGGGTCCTCAGGCTTCCACAGCAGGCGCTTCACCACCTGAGAATATCTGATTCTGTAACTTTTATGTTTTCTATAATTAGTTAAAAATTTTGACACTAATTCCTTGTGTCCTTTTGACGTTATACAGAAATATAATAGTTCTATTTAAAATATGTCAATGTGATGTATAAAATCTCCTAAAATGCCTGAAGTCTTTCTACTAAGGTAGAACACTGAGGTATTCATGCCTTGAGGTAACTGTTTAAAACCTGGTGCTCTTTGCCAGGTTCAAGGAAGTACCAGTTCACAGGTGAGAGGTATAGGAGGCTGTGCTGTTATTTCTGATGCCCTGATGATCTTCTGCGGATCTCTTTTTCTACAGAGCAGAAGTAAGGGATTTGCATTTCATCCTCTGATAGCTTATTTTTACCTTAGGTAAAAAAAAAAACACCCTGCTCTATTAATCCAGCAGGCATTCATTTGCACCCTTCTCTTGCATTTGTGTACAAAAGTAGAAATTGTTTGGAATGGTAGTCAGGTGCCAAAAGTGTCCTTAAATAGTACGTCAGGGAAAGTTAACATAACCTATTTCTCGTCCTGCAGACACTGGGATTTTACTAACCCCCAGGAGAAGTTGCTTGTTTTTATTCTAGAAACATCCGAAGGCAGCTTAGCCAGGGACAGCTGTTCTGAATGGCCAGGACCTTTGAGGCAGTGGAAGGAAGCAATAGTGCCTTCCTCTGAAAATCATTCCCCTTGAATACATTCTACTTTGAGGAGAAGTTTTGTTCTAAAGTTCTTCATCTTCAAGGATTTTGTACAGAGAGTTGTGATCATATTCACCCCGTCCTCAGCTCTTCCCAGGTATGTTCCTCGCTGTTCTCTTTCCACACAACTTCGTGTCTCTCCATTTTAAGGAAAAAACCCCATGACCAGAATAGTGCACATAAATAAGTATTATAACTCACAACCTGTTTTCCATGTAAAAATAGAGTATCTCAAAAGTTTTGAGATTTAATGGATTAAATACATTAACCGAGGTGAACTACAGATAGCATGCCCTTCTTGTTCCTTTCTGTTTTTCAGCCTGCTTTTATATATGTGCATGGAGTTCTGTTGTTGTTTTGTGCAGGATCTTACGCTATAGTCCAGGATATAGATGAAAATGCAGTTCTCAGTTCTGGATAGCAGATGTGGATCAGCATGCACAGCTATTTGCTAGGTTTTTAATCTCCTTTCTTCTCCTCTCCCCTTTCCTACCCCTCTTCTCCCTCCTCTCCTCTCTTTTCTCCATCTCATTTTCCTTCACCTCCCCATCTCTTCCCCTCCTTCTTTCTCTTGACATATAGTGATGTGCTCAACATTGTCTTGTCTACATTTGGAAAGGAGAACTCTATTCTCTGGAGTTGTGTACACTGTATGTATATAACAAGGCAGCGTGTTTTCTCCATGTAACACTGTTGGAACACCAGCCCTCTCTGAGGACAATGCTGTTTCCCATGGTGCTCTTGGACACAGGCAAATAGTGCTTACACAACTATTCTCAGGTAATTGTCAGAGATAGTTGTCATTCAGATGGCAGAGGAGAAAAAAATTTAGGGAAGGACTTGAGTGGGAGTGATTTATGTGAAGTTAGCAACAACTGGGAACTTGACAGGCAATTTGAAGTCCCTTCTTTCATTCTCAGGGAAAACCAGTCCCTGTCAAGATCATCATTCAAAGCAGCTTTATTTGTCATAGCCTGAACCTGGAAACAACCTAAATGCCCAAAGAATTCTTGACCAAAGAATGGATAAGGAAAATGTGGTACATCTACACAATGGAGTACTACACAGCAGAAAAAAATAACAACATCTTGAATTTTGCGGTAAAATGGATGGAGCAAGAAAACATTATTTTGACTGAGGTAACCCAGACCCAGAAAAACAATTATCACATGTACTCACTCATAGGTTGTTTTTAAACATAAAGCAAAGAAAACCAGCCTACAAACCACAATCCCAGAGAACTTAGACAACAATCAGGACACTAAGAGAGATTTACATAGATCTAATCTACATGGGAAGTAGAAAGTAGAAAAAGACAAAATATCCTGAGTAAATTGGGAGCATGGGGACCTTGGGGGAGGATTGAAGGGAGGAGGAGAGAGGCAAGGAGGGGAGCAGAGAAAAATGTAGAGCTCAATAAAAATCAATACAATTTTTTTTTAAAAAAAGAAGATAAACTCTTTCCATGTTACTCTGTAGCCTCAAGAGCAGAGCAGTTGGTTGCACCAAAAGAACTTTTGTGGAGCAGAATGGCGAACAAGTTCACATAAAGTTATTTTTCCATGTCCCAGGGTGTGCATCCAGAAGTCATTTCTCTTTAGCTATAAAAGTGGAAGTATAGCGAGTGGGCAGTTTGACAGGACAGAGATAGTTTACACTCTGCAAATCTGCTGAAAGAGCTAGGTTTCTATTCTTTTGACCCCTGCCCCTCCCCTTACTGATTTACCTTAGGTAGAGTACCATGCAGAAATCACCATAAAAGCCCTCCGGCGAGGCACACTGGAGTACCAGAGAGCCATCTACACCGACACAGTGTACACAGTGGCACAGAACACTGAGTTCCAACTGGTCATTTTTATTGGAAAGCTTCACAGAGCAGATGGGGTTTTATGAGTTTTCTGAAGTTTGTTGTCATAAATTGAAACTGTTGTTCTGAGGATTCTTTGCTTTGCATCCATCTCAGCACAACTTCTTGTACTCGGTGTCTGTGAAAGGCAGTGGGCATCTGAGGACACTGTGAACTTGCCTTATCAGGATCTCCAGATAGGCCTGCTCTGGGAGCTCAGGCTGGGGGACAAATTTAGTAGTAAAGTCTGTGACCAGACCGTGCATATTTCCAGGGGAAGATCGCACTGCAAAAATGCTTTAGCCCCCATGTCTAATATAGCATCTGCCAACAAACAGCGTACTTCATTAAATTTATTGCACAATTCCATATGTGTACATAACATATGGTCACATTCACCATCATTACCTTCTCTTGCCCCTCCTTCTCCTGCTGAATCTCTTCTACCCAGATAATAGCCCCTCTACTTTGATGCTGTGATCCTCTTTCCTCTGCCTCCTGAGTGCTGAGTCAGAGCATGGTATGATTAAAACAAACAGATTTGGGATATGTTGAAAACATGGCAGTGTGATTTTTCTCCCAAAAAGGTAAATACTCTAGCAAGCAAATATTAAACTAAATAAACTAAGCTATTTGACATTGAATGTTATAAATCTGTCTCTGTCTCTGTCTTGGTCTGTATCTCTCTCATGGTCTGTCTCTGTCTGTCTTGGTCAGTCTCTGTCTGTCTGTCTTGGTCTGTTTCTGTCTGTCTGTCTGTCTGTCTCTTTTTCTTTCTTGGTAAATTCACTTGCCTGTGCTCCAGTGCTGGATTCACTCAGAAGTTCTCCTTTTTGGAGAGTCTCTCTTGCCAGTTTCAAATAAAAACTCACTAGTTGGAAGGTTAGAACATCTTCCACTTGCATTTTAGTGGGGATTTTGTCACTTTTTTTAAGCCTGCGGTCTTAGGGACCTATTTATATGTCATCCTCGGGAGCAGAACAGTGGCCGTCTCTTCCTGATCCCATGGGGGAACCTACAGCTTCGTCTGCAAGTTGACCAAAGGAAGGTGTAAGGTCCAGTGTGGGCTGCACCAGAATAAGTTGGTGAGTGAGTTACCAGACTCATAAGATTAACACACCCACAAAAATATCAATAAGAAAATGGTTGATAAATTAGCAGATTGAAATAACAACAAACATACCAAACATCAGTGTTTTTCTCTGAGTTCCTGTAGATTCCCTGAATGTGGTTTCCCAAGAGATCCCATGAAACTCATCGGCAAAACTTTTGATAATGTACTTCTTTGAAGAGACTCAAAGCCATCCATCATGACTAGTGAGATCACTTGTTAGGTAAAGAAGCTTGCTGTCAACCCTAAAAACCTGAGTTTGATTCCCCACGCCCACACACTGGAGAGAGAGAACAAACTCCTGCCAAGCTGGACTCTGATCTTCACATGTATGTCTTGGCATGTGTCCAAACACAGGTGTGATGAAAATCATGAGAAATAAAAAAAACTATCAAAATTAAATGAAAGCATCTTTCAAACCCTTGCCGCCAACATTTTAAGGAGCATATTTTGTCACAACCTGATGTTTCAGATAAGATTCATAGCAAATAATGGAAACCATTGGAAACACCAGTTCTCAGTTTTGTTACCTACTTAGCGAAGCTTTACCTGTGTGAATCAACTATTTCACCTCCGGACAGGTGAAGAGCTGGAATCAGAGCTAAGATGGGAACTCACATCTGAGGCTATGTTTCAGCTCAACGGGCATTTAGACACTGCCTCTGCTGAAACAGATGAGACTTTGGGTGGGAAGAGAAAATACTGAATCAAGCTGGAAGTTGGGCATCTCTGCCCCCATGTGGGGTCTTCACTTTGGTAGAAGACACAGAGCTAAGTTCTGATCATTGACCTCTCCTCTAGTTATCTTGAATTCCAGGAAGACCAAAACCTAGAACAACCCAGACTCCCACACAAGGACAGTTATCCAAGAGAAGAAGGGGGTACATTGACAATGGTTTGTGGGACAACCTTGCAGAAAGGACTGGAGATGAGACATTGATGTGTGTGACCATACCTTGACCAGAACTTCTTAAATATAATACCTCTTAATCTTGATCTTCACTGAAACCTCAAGTCAATAACAAGTAGATAGACTGAAGGAGGACTTCTTGATAAACTCCTCTTCCAGGCACAGCCCCACTGAGTAATCCCTTTATTTGGTTTACATCATCCCTGATCTCTTAACTAGAACGTTGGTGTGTGTGTGTGTGTGTGTGTGTGTGTGTGTGTGTGTGTGTGTCTATGAGCCTACCTTGTTATAGATACAGGCTTTTAGTGTAAAAGTCAGATGATGGTTCTACAGTGAATCTTAACACATTTCATGATTTTCAACAATTCTTTGTAAAGTCACATGCTCATGTAATTTAATTCAAATAAACCCACCATGAGATATGTTAGAACATTATTAACAATGTCTCTTTTGATGGTTTCCGAGAAACAAAATGTTTTTATTATTACTTTATTTCCTTGTATTTCTGAACTACCATACACTTATTTAAGTGATCTACCTGGAATCCCGTGTTTCTGTGACTCAAGTACCTTGTTATCCCATCTCAAGTTTCCCATTTGTTTGAAGATTTTGCTCTAAGAAGATGTGCAACAAATATTATACATCCTTGAGTTCTTAGGAAACCAGGGTAGCAAACATGTTCACTTCATTTCTATGAGGAAATAGAGGCACAGACGTAACTTCTGAGAAGCCACAAAGTCCTTTGTGGAATTTAAAAGGGAAAGACAAAAAGAATCACGTGTGGATCACAAACCATAGATTATCAAGAATCATAGATTATCATTAGCATGGCTTGTTTGCGAGACTCTGATGCCTAGGTCAGTGGCAAGCACCCAAGAAGCCACTGATGTCTGTCTTCTCAATACAGGAATGGATAGCATCTCTAAGAGTTATATGCATGGAATGGGGAGCAGGTAAGTTGATATTATTCAGTGTGGATGAGTTTGCAGCATTCTAGATCCTGATTTCTTAAGAAATATCTTACCGTCTGTTACTCGTGCCATAAGATGTTATGATTTGAGGATCCATGTAGACATATGGTAAAGAGTGATGAGAGGGCTAATGGATAACTCAGTGGGTAAAGCACTTGCCTTGCGAACTTTAGGACATGAGTTTGTTCCCCAGATACCAACTAAACAAAAGGTTGGATATGGTGATACGAGCTTGTAATCCTAGAGCTGAGGAGACAGAGGCAGCCAAATCTCTGGGGTCTCATGCCTATTTGTGAGTTCTAATCTAGTAAGAGATCCACTGGGGGGGGAAACAAAAACAAACAAAACCTGGTAGAATATGCCTGAGGGGACACACACACACACACACACCACGAGAAATTATTAATGAGTCAAAATACTACATATAATGCTGCAAAAATATTTTACTTTCAAGTAGATGAGTGGGGAGGGGAGAAACAGAAGCTGAGTGTGTATTTTTGGGGTGTCATTGTGTGCACTCTCTTCTAACCTAGTCAGTGTTTTAACAGGCATTAATTCATGTAGTCTTTGTCACAAGACATAATTTGCATCTTATTTTCACTTTAGTGGATTTTTTTTAAAAAAAACAAAGATCATTTAGGTAACTCACCCCCAAACAAATGGAGCAGTTGGGGTTTGAGCCAGACAGTAATTCTAGGATCTTTAATTCCAGTTCCTATACACACTCTGGTTTTGGCAGATGATACTTTTGTGAGCTCTTGGTTAGAATATTGCACTTTTCACACTATATTGGAAGGTTGGGAATTTAAAAAAAAAGAGTTAGAAAACAAAAACTGTTAAAATGGATTTCCCCGTGGCTCATTGAACCCAAAACTAATTTTCTAGAAATATGACTAGAGGAATTATCTTTGAGAAATAAATAGTAATCTTTCTTCATTTTGAATTCTGAAAAATTCCATCTCACTGTGTTATCAGAATGTTCTAGCATCTCTGTGCTTTAATTAGCAGCTGTTTCTAAGTGTGATAGGTGATTCATGCTAGTCTTGATATTGTATATAATTGGATCTCAAAGGCAAATTTATCTGTCAGAGTAAAATTGATCTACAAGTAGTTCCCTCTAGCTAATACCTAAATTAGTTTCACCTGGACCCTGCCCTCTGCTTCCTTATGAATCACACCCACCCAAGGAGAAAAGCTAACAGCTGGTGTGGGAAGCAGCAGTGTTAACCAAATGATTCTCAGGTAGGTTCAGGCTAACTGCGAGAGGAAGAAGAAATCGAAGTGGGTTTACAGGCAACACTGGGAAAAATCAAGCTTAAAACCCATTACATTTTCATGTATTCAGAACCCGCCTTTCTACATGGATGCTTTATTGCATTGCTGGTCAAGACTTCCCATCAATGAGAAACAGAATTCAGGAACTTTGGGATTGTAGTGTTGAATACATACACATACACATACACATAGACCCGTTGTAGTTGATTTAATAAGAATGGCCCCCATAGGCTTAGTAATTAGGGAGCAATGCTACTTGAGAAGGATCAGGAGGTATGGCCTTGTTGGTGTAAGTGTGGCCTTGTTGGAGAAAGTGTGTCACTGGTACTGGACTTTGAGGTTTCAAAAACCCAAGCCAGGCCCATTATCTCTCTTCCTGCTGTCTGCAGATCCAGATGTAGAACTCTCAGTTGTTTTTCCAGCACCAAATCTGCCTGTGTTCCACAACGTTTCTTATCATGGCCTTAATGATAATGGACTAAACCTCTGAAACTGTAAGTAAGACCTAGTTAAATGCTTTCTTTTGTAAGAGTTGCCATGGTCATGATGTCTCTTCACAGGCATAGAACAATTACTAAGATTCTCATCTTGTAGGCCTTTCCCCATAAAACCCCCTTAGTCTTCAGCATCTTCAGAGACTGTGTAGTTGAAAACAATACTATCTGGGGAACTAATAAGATGACTTAGCAAATAAAGACATTTGCAGTCAAGTCTGATGATCTGAGTTCATTCCCTAAGACCTATATGGTAGAAGGAAATAATTGACTCCAAAGAAGTGTTATCTGAGTTCCACATGAATGCCATGGGGTGCATGAGCAAGCACACACACACACACACACACACACACGCACACACACGCACACACACACAAAATAGTATTTAGGGTTAGCTTTTTGTATAATAGTTACCCTAATTTTTAGACTATGGGGCCCTCTTTAAGAAATGTTAATATCCAGGCTACTAGGAGTTTAGGGGAGAAAATAAGGGACAGCCAATGTGAAAGAAAACTGCCTCCCAACAGTAAACCCAAGATTTTGACTTGTGTACAGTGTCTATTATTATATCAAATATACCTGCAGACATAGCATGTTAATCTGCTGTTGATTCTTAGCCTGGTATTTAATAATATTCTTTTTACACACTGGTTACTTAGTGACCATTATGTGTCAGACACTCTAAATTGGGCCTTTGTATTCATAAGGTCCAAAAACATGGGTTCATATGATATGGTTCAGAGATATTCAAACATATTGTGTCATTGTTGAACATGTGTAGATTTTCCCTTGTCCTTATTGCCTAAACAACATGGCATAACAACCGCACACACATTTGTGTTGTATCTGGTATTGTCATTTGTTCAGAGATTACAGGTTTGATTTGAATATGATTTCTTATTATTTAAGAGGCTTGATCACCCTTAGAATTTTATTTCTGCAGGGATCCCCAGAACCAGCTGACGTTGGTACTAAAAGACAGCTGTGTTGGAACCATTGGCCGAGAACTGGAGTCCTTCCTTCCGGAGAAGACATAAGCACCAAGTACACAAGCGTTCTGGGGGAAGTATGTACAGAGACCTGGAAAGTGGAGACCCAAGGGATGTTTGGCTAAGCCAGGGGAACTACGCTGTGACTCAAGTTGGCCTAAGACAGTGAAGGACCAAGGGATCCAGGAATTCTCCAGAGAAAACAAGTGGATTTGTGGAAGTAGATTATAGACAATGAGCTGGAGTGAGGTCAGCCATCAGAAAACTGCTGGGGGAAGGGGAATGGAGTTCACAGCGTTTACAAGAAGGGACATGTGGCTCAAAGGTAGGACAACCAGAAAGATGCTTGGACAGGACTGTAGGACATTTCTCTACAGAACAGGCTGTGGTTAAAAAAAAAGTAATGAATTCTTATTTTTAACCCTAATTATCCAGAAAGCATGGTTTTGATGATTTAGTGTAAAACAAAGGCATTTTATGCAATTGTTTCATAAAAATCGAAACTTAGCTTTCCTTTCTGTCCAGGGTATATGAACACCTTGAGGGTATGTAAAAGCTTTCAGAGCATGTGTATAAATGCTGCCCCAAGGTCGATGAAGCAACATCTAACTATCACAGAGGTCTGGTCTGACTCTAAATCTTTTTTCCTAGGGAAAGAAAAGGCATGTCGTGATGTATATTTCTGGAGAGGAAGCATTCCCAGGAAAGCCTATATTATTGTAAATGCCAAGCAATCCCAGTTCAGTGTATTCTCCTTACGATTTATTTGCCTCAAGTTGATAATAATAATAATGTTCTTACTTTCACAGTGTCTCAAATCCAAGTGTGTCTGAGTAGTTTGTAAATATAAATCAATTCTTAAGACACTCTGGTGAGACAGGTAAAAACCGTTACTAATATTTTATGAAGAAAGTAGTAGACAAGAGATTCACCAACTTCACAGTTTCTCATTTGTTGATGCCTATTATTCTGGAATGAAACCCTGAACATGCACAGATGTACCTGCACACCACACACACACACACACACACACACACACACACACACACACACACTGCTGGGTCTTCTCTCTGTGAAGCCAGAGCTAGAAAGAGACATGCAACTTGAAGGACTTGTGCTTCTGCGTGATCAATACTGAGATAAATTAGAAGTAGACCCTATTTATTAATAAATAACCTTAGTCTTTGCAGTGCCAAATAAAATTCTAAACAGAGGATGTGTCTTCACCAGTCTTAATTTCTCTGGCTTGGTATATATTTAATTTGTTCTCCATAGAAGGATAGTATTTGGTTGCCTTTGCTCTGAGCTATTTATTTATTGCTATAGTACCTACAACCGTTACAATTTGTCCTCCACAATACTTAGCTTCCTGTAAATATAATTGATGAGCTACTCTGCACAAACAGCGGAAGAACAGATACTGTCATACTTACGGCATCACGGCATTCTTTACTTTGTTCTTCCATCTGTGGATAGCTAGCATTGCTATTTTGCAGGAGTCTTCCTTTAGTTTCCTTGCAGGCCTAGAGATTGAACCCAGGGCCTTGCACACACCAAGCAAACACTCTCTAATTGAGCTACACCCCCAGTTCCTAGGAGCCACCTTGTTACCGTTGAGTCACATGGGTCATTGCTATATTGTCTTAACCAGATTGATTTTTCCTTCCCGTCGTTTCTAATCTGGAAGCTTCCAGTGTCGTCTGAGGACATTCCATGTGTGTAGCAAGCAAACCCAGATTCAAGCTCTGATCAGAGTCTGGGAAATGTCTCACTAATGACATTGAGCCCATCCTTAATTACAAGTGTTCTTGGGAAGGGGATGTGATTTAACTCACTGTTTATGACTTTTGCTGTGTTCTTAGGAGAAGGACTGGGAAGATGGATTAGGAAAAGAATACCAATCTAATTTCATTTATAGAGGAAGTTGTATATACTCCATTCAATTAGATATATGCTTTCCGAAGTGGTTTCAAGAAGGTCCTACCCTGTGTCTACTGGGACAAAACCTATCAAATCTATTAGTCATATGGCTCACATTTAGCGCTAGTGCCCAGTAGCCACCTCTGGTGAGTGGCTCCTCTATTGGATGTTTCTGTTACCATGGAAGTATCCATTGGACATTGTTGCTACCAAGTAGTCATGGCTTTAGTGTTCCCATAAATAATCTATTATTTTCTACTCTTACTGAAAATATATTTTTTCATATAATATATTCTGATTACAGTTTCCTCTCCTCCAACCCCACTCCAACTTCCAATCTACCCAAGTCCATATTCTTTCTATCTCTCAATAGAAAAAAACAAGCATCTAAAAGATCATAATAAAATAAAAAACAAACAAGGATAAGTACAAACGGCAGACAAAGAGCCAAAGAAAAATTACAATACAAACATATAGATTCAGAGACACACATATTTACACACAGAGACATTCCACAAAAACCACATGATTTTGAGTTCTTAATATAAAAATAAAGTGTACAAAACAATAAAACATTAAAATTCAGAATGTTGAAATTTTTATTAAAAATGTGTTGTTATCTTTAATAAATAAATTGTACTAGATTAAAGCCACATTAGGGGGGAAAAGCCACAAGCTAAGAGAAACTAAGTTTTGTTCTACTCAGTGATTATGAAACAACTGGAGATCTGTGACCAGAAGGGACATTTGATGGTACTATGTAATATTATGGGAATCCTAAATCCTTTTTTTTACTTTCCATATTTTTTAGGGTAGGTAAGATTATGGTTTCATGATCATGGCAGTATTTTTTTAAATATTTTTTTCATACAATATATTTTTGCCATTTTTTAATGTTTTGAGATTTTTATGCACGAATTTCCTGTATTTGCATAGTTTCTACCCCTTCTGTTTGCCTCTATTTAGTGTTTCTTGTATATACAAGTGCTTAGGGCTCGTTGACTTTGGTTTAGATAACACATCAGGGGCTGATCCCTGAAGACCAAGTCTCCCTTCCTCAGCAGCTTATGAGGGGCTGTAGCTCTTCATCTGAGTGTGGGGTCTTGTAAAATTCACCCCATCCACAATGGCAAGTCAACTGGTGGTGTCCCTGTGTGGGTCCTGGTTAGGCAACCATATTGTTGAGATGTCATGGGTGCAAACATCTACATCTTTCTGGAAAAGTTGGTAAAACTTTCGTGACTTTTAAATGTATGAAAAGGTGTGAGCCACTCTCATTTCTGTTGTAGTAACTTCTATTTCTTTTCCCCCCTCCCTCCCTCTCTCCCTCCCTCCCTCCCTCTATCCCTCTCTCCCTCAACCCCTCTTTTTCTGGCAGGAGTTACTCTGTGGTGCAAACTGGCCATGAGATCATAGAGAGAGACTCTCCTGCCTCTGCCTTCTCAGTGTTATTACAGGCTTGGGTAATAACACTTGGCTTAAATAACACAAAATGATCACAAAGAAAGCAAACGAGTTTATGACATAAAAGACAACCTAAGTTCCAAGAGAAGTCTTTTGATTTTACTTCCTGTGTTTTGTGGTACTAAGAGCTGGTGTTTTCCTGGGGCTAGTATTGTGCAAGTGAAATTTCTCAGACAGATGTAGCTAGAGCCTGGCCCTGAGCTTAGCATTCGTCTCTGCTTCTGTGCTGCTTTTGTGTTTTCTGTCTTACTGAAAGAAGAGAAACCTGCTGTTCTGTTCACACACTGCTCTGTTCTAAAGGATGACAGAGGCCATTGGAGAGGAGCAGGGAAGAGTCACCGCATGTCTTTTAGACCTTTTCACACTATGCTATATATGTAAATAATGGGTTGAAATGGAGAGTGATGAGTCTCTCAAGGAAATAAATACTGCACACTCATTAGGAGGCTCATTAAGAATAAAGTGCAGGAAGGGGGCTCTGAGAACAGACTACAATCCTGGTATTTACTGGGACAAAGCACTCTTTTTAATAGGGCACCTGAAAACCTCTCTGCTGCAGTTATTAGCCGTGGCTGCTTTTACTAACTTCGGCTTTGCCCTTCTCTCTGCCTTAGTAAACCGTTGACAACAACACCCTTGGGTTCCAAGCTCCTCCTGTGAATGTGTCCTCACTCTCCTCTCGTGTCCCAGGCTTCCCATCCAAGAGGGCATGTGAAAACTAGTCCTCCCTTTAGAGTAGAGAAGACTGAAAGCCACCACCACACTTTATTACCTTTCTCCTCTGCCAAGTCTCTCTCCCCACCTTGTCTTGCACAGACAATTCTCTACATCTTTCTTTCTCTCTCCTCCTTAAAGGCAGACCTTGCTAAACTTCTGCAGGGAACTAGTGGTTCTGAACCTTAGTAATGCTGAGACCCCTTAATAGAGTTCTTCATGTTGTATTGACCTCCAACCATATAATTATTTCCATTCCTACTTTATAACTGTTATCTTGCTACTGTTATGAATTGTAATGTAAATATCTGTGGTTTTTTGATGGTCTTAGGTGACCTGAGAAAGGGCCATTTGACCCCAAGTGGGCCGTAGCCCACAGATGGAGAACCACTTATGTAGAGGATTGAGCCCTGCAGATAAGTAAAGATGTTAAGCTTAATGGCTCATAAGGTCTTTGTTGTGACTCTGCTGTTGGAGTGCAAATGTAACCACTGATGGGTAGGTATGATTATGTTACAATAAAACTTTATTTACACTGAGAAGTGGGGGGCCAAATTTGACTATGAAGTCAATTTGTGGGCCTCTGGTTTAGTGTTTGTTCTAAGAAAGAAGTTCTATTGCACGTACAGAATACAAGGTACTGTGTGGTTTCCTCAAACACCTTTGACTAATTCATTCAATGACCCATCAGTTAAGGTTTTAGTGTCTACTATATGTTAGGCTCTAGGCAAGGTCCAGGCAACATGAATATAAAAACTAAAGAAGCACACGGTCTTATGGTTAGATGCATATACACAGCTAGGGAACACCTGCACTGTGATAATCTTAGAGCTATAATGGACACCTGGAGATAGAGACCGTAAAATAAAAGGAACATCTTTTAAAATATCAAGATTTACTAGAGTGGGAGTGCTTTAAGATAAAATCGTACAATAAATGTGCAGAGTCCTGAGGAAATAAATCCGATTTGGGAGTTTTCGAATGCATTACATGTCTTTACTACAAAGGATAACAAACGTGCTTATGGGATATAGCAGGGGTGAAGGAGAGGATCCTGGAAGAAGGGGTGAGTAGGAAACTCTTGCGTTCCATGGAAGGCAAAACGTAGGTTTTATTTTGGAGGCCACCGGGCAGGTGGGGGGGAAGCAGAAGACAGTTATCAGCTCAAGAAGGCAAGCCTGGATTTACATGTATGTTCATGGGAAACAAGATAGGATATGTGACTCATGAGCTCTAACGTTCAAAGCCTTGGTTCTTCCTCTGAGTAGCCGTCAAAAGCAAGCAAAAGTTTCCAGAAGCCAGACCTGGAAAGTCAGGGATATACTTTCACAGAGGCCAGGCATACTGCATGGGCATTGGGGCTGTGTTTATTTCCCGTGGAAATAAAACTCTTAATTCTGCGACCCAAGGAGGGGTGTCTTCAGGAACAGCAGTGTCGACATCTTCAGTTCACAGCTTCCTTTTCAGCATGATTTGAGGGGAGCCAGAAGTTCCCTGATCGGAAATAGCACATCCCTCCCGTCATTTACTGGGTTTTACAATCACTGGCATTTACAGTCACACAACAGGCATTTTGATTCCTCTAGGTGGCCCGCCCCAGGCAACGTCTTTTAAAACACAGGTACCTCCAGATAGAGCACTACACTATGTCAGTCATAACTAGGTGTAAATGAGACTGTAAATCTCAGAGTGACTCAAGAGAATCCTTGAAAGAAGCAAGGAAGATGCGTACAAAATACAGAACCAGGAATGGCGACTCTCAGTACAAAACACTACCTCCATCTCCTTCTCAGTCTTGCCTGGGGCAACCTGGAGCCTAATGAGGTGGACAAGGAAAGAAATGAAATGGCCAG